GTGGGGGCGCCGGAGGGCGGGGAGCGAGGCCGCCAGCCCTGCTTGGAGGACAGCGGGCCACGGCAGAAAAGCAGCCCTGTCCCCACCCACGCGACCCCGGATGGACCCCGCCAGGCGGGGGCCGGGATCCCGGCCTGGTGGAGAGGAGATGCCTCGGGGCTTAGGCGGCGTCACTTGGAGGCTTGTCATCTACGGCGAGGACAAGAAGTCACCAGGGGAAGGCCAGCCAGGAGCGGCCTGCTTTCTCCCTGCAGAGCGGGCTGCACAAGCCGGCCACTCGGCCCGAGCCCAGTCTGTGCCGAACGGAGTTGGGGAGACGGAGTAAGGCGGAAAAACGGTGCAGCCCGGCTCAGGCGGCAAGCCTCTCCCCTGCCGGCCAGAGGTTGTGCGGGATGACGGAGAACCTGTTAGGGGCCCAGCGACAGCGTCATGGTTACGGTGGACTCAGGCCAGGTGCCTAGGATCCTGGGAGGAGATCGGAGGGGATGGCGTGGGAGATTTCTGACTTTCTGTTTCTCCGGAGGCACGTGCCCTAGAGCAAGGATCTTTCTTAAAAAGACAAAAGAAAGCCCTTTAGAAGCTGATCCGAAAGGAGCCTCAGAAGGCTGAGTCCTCATCGGTGATCAGTGAGGGTTAGTTGGTCCCGCGGCCGGGGCCCTAAGAACTACCCAGTCCTCGGTTCTCTGCCAGCGCTGGGCCCAGGCCATGCACGTGAAGCAGAGTGGCCCTTCAGGTCGGTCTGCGCTGCGTTGCTGTGGCCACTCAGGCACAGCAGAAGGCAGGGCGTATTCCCGAGCAGAGATGGAGCAGGACCTGGCAGGAGCAGGGTAATACTCCTGTTACCTGAATGAATCTTCAGTCAGTCGGAAGCCAAGGGCTATACACATGGTGATTTAGGTGAGGTCGAAATTCTCATTCGTAAGAAAAAGGAACTAGGACATCTAAAATAAGACTGAAACCCTAAAACAGTAAATGAAATACTGGGTTCTTTTTTAGTGAAATTCACATTTTTGAAACTTTGACGGAGCACCCTAAATCTAGTAGTGTTATCGGCATAGTCTGGCGCCCCCTGCTGCCTTACAGCTGAAATCGGGAGAGGAGACTCAGGCAGAGGATGCCATCGGGAAGAGGAGATTCAGGGAAAGGATGCCAGCTGCTAATTGCCATCACAAGATCAGCAGGATTTCGGGAACCAGCAGTTGGCGTAATGGCTATGTCGCTGGACTCCCACGTAGTCAGACGCGGGTTCCGTGCCGCGAAGTACTACGTGCCGGACATTGTACGGGGTCACATGAGGTCTGTGACAAAGACAGACCCGGCCAGCAGCTGCCAGCGGTTCGATTCCAGCAGGACAGACGGGTATGCGCAGACCTTCCTCAAATGCTTGGCAAAGTGAAGCAGACTGGGAAGGGAGAAAATGAAAACTTGTTTTGGGCCGCCTCCGTGGCCTAAAGGTTGAGAACGTAATCTCACGTGGTCAACAACACAGTTCAAATCCAGTGGCTGAAAAAATGTGCTGGGCACGTGTGAGCACACTGCAAACCCTGATTCCAAGGAGGAGGAGGAGGCAGCGGTGCGGCGGCCGTCAGGGCGTGCTTTGTGCCCCCCGCAAACTAAATTGTTATTTA